TCCATTCATTGTACGATTGCGTCTTTCAGCTACTCTATTCAACTTACGTTCGCCCGATATAGAATAATGGGCTACTATTGCCATTCTCCTGTAAGAACCTTGCATAAAGTCTAGGAACTTAGCCATATAGGGTATGCCGACCGTAGTACTCCCCCACGGTCAGACCTGACTATCTTTATTTTTAAATTGCGTTGGATTTTAACTTTTGCCTTAAATATCTACATTTATCAAATACTTATGTTCTTTCTTTGATTGGATAAATGTAGACATAACATGAGTAATCATCTGTGGATATTATGAACGAATCATTACCATCCACACTCTTTACAGGAAACTGACCACATATGTTTGTGTGTATAATCTATAAAATTCCTACGCTTCGTTTTGCATCTTTCTTACTTTTCTTTATATACTTTCCTTGTATGCATTCTCTGCATTATTTTAAATCTGAGAGCTCTAATGGAGGAAGAATATCATTCTTAACTTGTCTTTCTATTCTCCTCCTCGAAATATGGTCTAAACGACAGTGCCATAATTTCGACGACGCATCATGAGCTCTCTTATGCCACTATTTTCAGAGTGACTCTCCATCACCAGCTGCTTTATCAGCTGGGTTGCATGTCTTTGAAGAGCCAGTGAACTGACTCTTTATTCTATCGAGGTATTCGGTGACCGTGTCACACTCTGGAATTGAGCCCACAATTGCAGGCTCAATCGTGTTCTTTATCACAGCCAAACATTTCATGTTGGCAGTGACCCACTTCCTATGCTCAAAGTCATAGGACATCTTTTGGGACTTAAAATCCCTTTCTTTAGTTGCCTAATCGGCATCATTCTCTTTTGTCTCCCTCACCGGTGCCACAGAATTAGTGGGACATGTTGAGGTGACTACCCAGTCCATCTTAGCCAAGATGAAAACCATGTCAAACATTTTCTTAACATATAAATAACACCATTTGCATGCCTTGATTCCAACGTTAGTCAAAATCAAAACATACAATTATTCTTATACACTAATTCTACATCACCGTTGGACAGAAATAGAATTAATGCATAAAACATTAACTTTCACAACTTTCTTACACACTAATTCTACATCACCGTAGGGCAGAAATAGAATTAATGCATAAATCATTAAAATTTACAACTGTTCTTACACACTAATTCTACAACACCGTTGGGCAGAAATAGAATTAATGCATAAATCATTAAAATTATGATATTGTTATTAACAACGTTGGTCAGAAAATAACATCATAATCATGTCAAATCTCTTTTTCTCCAATTAAATATCACGTTGGTACAAATTAACTGGAGGATAAACAATTTATTTGGCAGTAAAAAAACTCTTACTCATTTCTTGAATTTTACCCACAGGGAAAAATTACTTTTCTATTTTTTCTTTTGAGCCAATTTGCATTTTCAATTTTCCAGGAAAAAAGAAAATATGAAACCGGGCTCTTGCTCTTCCTGTGTCGGTCCAAACCGGTCAAAACCGGCTCGGCCCACTGCTCTGCGCAGCTCTCGGCCTCACCCAGGCCGCAACATGTGCCTGGGCCGGCGACGGCCCGATCAATCTCGGCCGTCCGCGCCGATCCGACGACCGTCTGCGCGCGTCGCGTGATCAAAACACCGACCGCAGCGGCGCCTGGAAAACCCTAGCGGTCATTCGCTTTCGCCTGTTTCTCTCTCTTTGCTCTGTCTTCGCCGCTCTCACCTCTCTCAGCGCAGCGAGCACCGAGCGGCGACTGAGCAACTACAGCGGTGGAGCGACCATGGCGCCGTCGCTGGCCCCCTCATCGGCGCGCGTGCTCCCCAACGGGTGAGCACGCCGCCGTCGAGCGGCCTGGCCACGGCGCCCCCTTGGCCAAGCCCGGCGAGCAGCTACCCCTGGCTCGGCTCTTCTTCTCCCGCACCGGCGAAGGGCCATCCCGACGCACGGTGAGGTAGGTCCGTTCCTCTTTTCCCCTTTTCTGATTTAGATTTCTTTTCTCTTATCTGAACCGGTGATGAGGATTAGGGTTTGTTCTAGGGTTAGGGTTCAGAATCCGACCTTCCCCTTCTCTGATTTGCTTTTGAATCTGCTTCTTTCTACGGATTCAACCGATTGGGGTAGATTTCATTTTCTTTTGATTTCTTTTTCTTTTTGGAGTTCATCCGAATGGCTTTCCCCTTTTCCCTTTCTCCATGCGAGTTAGGGTTTGGGTTCGGTTGAACCTGATTTGTTTTGATTCGAGATCGAGATGCTAGGGTTCACTGTTCTTCCCCGAGACTGATTCCTTCCCCTTCTTCCCCCTTCCCCTTCTTCTTTTGGGATCAACCTGATTTGGGATGGGGTTAAAATTAGGGTTCGGCCAAATCCGAACCCACTCTTCTTCTTCTTTCTATTGTTTCTCTTCCCGTTGAAGGCTTTTACGGGTTTAGGGTTAGTGAACCCCTTCTCTGTTCAGATCCGTAAGGAACTCTTTTCTTTTCTTGCCGCACCGGCACTTTTCCCCGCGCGGTGGCGGTGGTGACCGGGGTTCCAGTGACGTCCGCCACACCCGGTCCCTTTTCCGTTTCTTTTACCCGATTAGGGTTAGGGTTACACACTGGCAACCTGGCTCCGATGCCAATGTTAGGATCGTTGTGTACCTCTGTGTAACCGTAGAACCGGGTAGACCTCTGCTTTGGGTTCCTCTGCACACCTTGGCTGTAGCCTCGTGGACGTCGGTGCCGCGGTGTAGTACCTCCAGCGTGGTGGAGATGAAGTCCAGTGGCGCTGGTGAAGACCGTGGTGACCCTGCAGAGGAGATGGCGGTGTGGTGGAGCTTCCCGTCGCTGACAGCACTGCTTTAGATCGGTTTAGGGTTTCTATCGTGGTGGCTCAACGGCGGCTCAGACCAACCTCGTAACCCGAGCCCTGATCCCCACCTTACCTTTTATATGTGTTGTGCGACAGGGGGCCCACCAACCGTATTAGGGTTAGGCTTCTCCGATCAGGGAGCAAAGACAATGGCCCAATAAGCTATTGGTGGAGATCAACTAACAAGATGGATTCCGGCACACTTTGATGCCAGACCAATCACTCCTGGCGATGGTCAGGCGCTTACTACGGTGGCTGAGCTGTTGACTGAATCGGGTGATTGGAATGAAGAGCTCATATTATCCCGGTTGATGCGAATGCCATCCTCAGTATACCGGTGCGTCAACAAGATGAGGACCGGTGGGCATGGGAACCAGAAAAGCATGGTGACTACTCAGTTCGATCAGCCTATCGAAAGCTGTATGCGATGAATAGGCGAGATGAAGAGCTGTTGCCAAGTGGATCAGGAGATGAGTCTTGGCGAAAACTATGGAAACTGCTGGTCCCTCCGAAGATCAAAGTATTCTGGTGGCGAGTTTTGCGTGAATTCCTCCCAGCAAAAGAAATTCTCCACCGGAGGCATATCGAACCAATGGCTTTTTGTGAAGTGTGCGGAGCTGACGCGGAGTTCATCAAGCACATTTTCACTGAATGTACTGTGGCGAAGATGTTTTGGCGAGAGGTTAAGGCCATCACTGGTGCAAAGTTACCCACGCTCCATCCCCTAACATGGGCGAGTGACTTGTTATCGAGTGTGTGCAGTGACAAAGAGCGAGGTATTTTCATCACTGGTATGTATGCTCTTTGGATGCAGCGGAATCAGAGACGACATGGCGAGTCCAGTAGGCCAGTTAGCACTGCGGTGAGATGGTCACTGGACACAGCTTTCGACCTGTGGAATCTGCACAATTCGTCAAGTACCACGAAGCAAGGGCAAGTTGCGCAGGTCTGGCAGCCGCCACCGGTGGGGTGCTTCAAGTGCAACACGTACAGATGGCGCGTTCTACCCGGAGCGAGGACAAGGTGCAACCGGAGTGGTTCTTCGCAATGCCTCAGGGGAGTTCGCTGGAGGCAGAGCGAGGTGGTACCCCTACGGGCTTGATGCGTTAACACTGGAAGCTTTGGCTTGCCGGGATGGTGCTATTCTAGCGCGAGAGAAGGGGGTCACGACTCACGAGGCTCATTCTGGAGTCTGACAGCCAAGAACTTGTGAAGCTCTGGAATGATGATGCCAGCCAACGCTCACAGATTGCGCCAATCATCAGGGAGACTCGGGAGATTAGCTCATGTTTTATTAATTTTTCTGTGGTGTATGCAAACCGTTCTTGTAACCGAGTTGCTCATACCTTAGCTAAGCAAGTCTCAGGAGATAATATATAGGCTGGGTGAGTGGCAGTTAGCCCCAACCTGTGTAGGTCACCTGTTGATTTCAGATTGTAACCCTGGTTGATCAATGAATGAAATCACCAAGTCGCAAAAAAAAAAGAGTACTGATACTATCGACCACTGTGGATGGGAAACTGACTTCTTAGCTTACTACTGAACATAGACTCGTCGGTATTGCTGTACTTGCCTTACTAGTAGGAATTACTGTGTACAAGGAACTCGGCGTTAATTTGAAGCTAGAAATAATTAGCCTCTCTGTATATATGCTTCTTAGCTTAATCTAGAAGACTTTGCTGATGTGATGTGATTTCTAGCTGGTCATCTACTAAGGGCTTACTTTTGAGTATGGTCCCTGCTCTTCATCAGAACTTGGCACTTCTTAGTCAGTTCTTACATCCATGGACTAGTATTAGAGAGTGCATAAATCTTGGTGATTCAACTGAACTAAACAAAAACTTTGTGATGCAAAACGATCTCTCAGTACTCGTCTAGCGTACAAAGAAAGAAGTTGGGATTTGAACATTCTCATTAGTAGTATAGTACTCGTTTAGTATAGGTATAGCGTATAAAGAGAGAAGTTGGGATTTGAACATTCTCACCATCACAGCTTTATGAACATGGATCGACTTGGACAGGCCAAGAAAACAACCCTGCCCTGCCCCTGCACACGGAGATCGAACCTAACACTAGCAATGCACGGGACGGAAGAGAAGAGACATGCAGCAGGAATGCAGGATGCACACAGCAGGCACGCACGCACGGTGACGTCTCATGGCCAGGTGGTGAACTCGAAGACCTTGCCGACGATCTCGAGCCCGGTGGGGATCTGCCAGACGAAGAGTAGGACGTTGACGGCGTTGAGCGCGATGTGGAGGCTGCGTGCCGTCTCGTCCCCCTTCTGCATCGCCGGGACGAGCGCGGCGGCGGCCGCCCACAGGACGGTGATGGCGGCGCCCGCGAAGAGGTGCGGGCCCGGGAACAGCTTGCCGGTGCGGAACCAGGTGTTGAGCGCGCCGCCGACGGACTCGAGCACGCCGAGGCCCAGCAGGATGGACCCCGCGTTGAAATGCCGGTCCCGGAACGACCCCTTGATCAGCGCCTTCCGCTCCTCCGTGAGCTCCTCGATCTTGATCTCCACCGGCGATTTGGCAGCGGGAGGCGGAGAGGAGTCCGCGCCGGCGCCGACCGCGGCTGGAGTGGCCGTGGCGGCGGGCTTGAGCTGCTTCTTGAGCCCGTTGACCTCGTCCTGGATAGTGCGCACCCGGCGCCACTGCCAGCCGAGGTACCCCGCCCAGAGCGTGTACGCGAAGAGCCCGCCCATGACGAGAGGGTGCAGCAGCGCGAAGCTCCGCCCCTCCAGGATCCCGAACTCGCCGCCCACCGCCAGCGCCTCGTCCGGCGGCAGCGCGAGCATCGCCGCCACCGCCGCGGCGACGGACGCCGGCGCCACCGCCGCCAAGCGCAGCGGTGGCTGCGGTGCCTTGGACGACGAAGGGGGTAGCTGCGGTGGCTGCTTGCTAATGCTCTTGGACGACGAAGGGGGGCCGGCGGTGGCGGAGCAGGTCACCGGGAGGAGGCGGGCCCGGACGGCCGTGAGCGGCGCGGCCATGGCGCTGCTGCTGCTTATTCCCTTTGCGTAGCGGGCAACGGTCGATGCGTGCCTCAGCTAAAGCGGACCGGTGACGGTGAGGCGGTGACTGGTTGGTTGGTGGGGATGGAGAGGAGAGGAGGAGATAAGGTGACCGACCGAGTGGACGAGACGACAAGCGCGCTGTGCAGTGCAGGCAAGCACAGGAGGCAGCGTGTGCTCTGCTCGCTCGCTCCCGCTCTCTCTGGAGGAGCGGAGAAGAGCGTGGGGCACGCGAGTCCACGCCGCGACGGACGTGGCGTTCGCTTTGGGCTTTTGGTTGCCGCCGTCGTTTTCCTCGTGCGGTGCGGAGAGGAAGCCGACGACGTGGCCGACGATCGATCCATCTCCCGCGTGTGGCGTGTGGCGCCGTGAGAGGGAAACGAGACCCGGCCCAACTGTAGGTCCCAGCCGGGCCGGCCGGCCGGCAGTCAGAATAAGCGCTTGGTGGCCCGACCTGTAGCAGCGCCACGATTTACGTGGTCAACGGCCCATTCCTCGATCCTTTCTTTCGATTTGCTAAATGACGTCCAGGTGTTGATCTCTGTTGCTTTCATATATTTGTAGGTTCAAAAAATCCATGAAAGCCCTTAGAACTTGTATTGTATGACAGTGTCACTTAAATTTATGAACTTTTAAATTATATTTCTGAGGGCAACGTGTAGGCCTTGTAACCCTTTAGAGTTTGGATCCCACGGTCATCTGAACCACGTGTGAACGAGGAGCCTCAAAGGTCTAGCACCTTGGATGGGCGAACACAGGATGGGCGAAATCACTGTAGGCAGTGATAAAATGTGATTTGCAATACTTGGCCACGGTCCTCCACCCCCATCCGGACGCTATCTTTATGGGTCTGCGCTGCGGACAACCCAACAGGTATGCTCTTCCTATCGCGACTTTTCGTCGTCGGGGTGTCGGGGCATCAACGCGCATCCGCCACCGCACTCTGCCGCCCGCCGCCCCCCTTCCCCCACGCAGCGCCCTTCCCCGCCACGCAAAGACCCCATCGCCGGTCGCACATACCGCTCCATCGCCTGCGTTGCGGCCATGGCGAGCACTACGCCACCACCACCCCAGCTTCACTAGGAGAAGGTTGTCGCCGGTACGGACTTCGTCTCCCGCGGCAGGAAGGGAAGGCCTGCACATGATAGGTCATTTGCTCTCGACCTTCCTCTGGACCTGAGCTTGCTAGTTACCGCAGTTCCCTAGCTATCAGGTAGGCCATGGCTGTCGGCGACGCCCTGGTTGAAGTGTTTTAGGCGTTTTCAAGTTATGTTTCAAGCATCTGAATGTTGCAAAAATCGATATGGGATGTTGCATATGTTGCAATGGCAATATACGCATGTTGCAAGCCTATGTTCCAAGTGTTTCAGCCGTTTGTTTCAAATGTTTCATCTGGATGTTTCAAAAGTTGGTCTAGTGAAGCACATGTTGCAATGGCTATACATACATGTTTCAAACGCATGTTTCAAGTGTTCCATCTATTTTCAGGCGTATGCTGCAAATGTTTCATCTAGATGTTTCAAAAGTAGATCTTGTGTTGCAGGTCATTGTCCGCTTTCTTTGTTCTTTGTCGGTGTGCCGTCGTGGTTCACGTGTCGCGGCGCTTGAGGCTCAGAAGACGCCTCCACGGTAGCGCATCCATAGCAAGCGGGCAAGTGCGCGAGTCGTGGTTCCGCCATGTGGATGCGGGGTGGGCGCGGGAGTGTGGTTCTGCCGTGTCATTGGTTGGGAACGGGACGGAGCGTGTGGAATACGATGCGGGCATGGGCGCGTGAGCTACGTTCGGATGTTGGCCTAGGCCGAACGTCGGGGCGGCCAGACATCATCATGGTCAAAATACAGAACAAGTGTGCATAAGTGAGGCCATAGGTAGTGTGTCTACATCTGAACTAATTAATCAGTCTAAGTCCATCTAATAAGTCTTTCTTGGGTAGGAGCGAATAAACCTTACAAAAATTGGTTCTTCGAGTAGTGAAGGTGATAAGTAAAATCATCAAACCACAGGAGACCAACGTAACTATCCACTTCAACATCGACATGATCATAATAGTTCACTTTCCCGTCAACATAAACACTATTTAAAAAAACACTATGATGCATCTCCACTGTAAGTCATCGATTTTTTTTTTAAACATAAGTCATCGTGTTTGTGATGTTGAGCTGATTCAAGTTGTGGACTTTGGTGCATAACTCCCACACGTATGCCGAAGATACGTGGTAATGTGCGGAAGTTCCGGACTTTGTAGAGGAAGTGTGTTTGGGTACCATATTTGTAGCCAACTTTTGCCGCTTTGCTATATTGAGACCTCGAGCAAATTAAGTTGTAACCTTCAAAATTCAAATCCTAAATTCTAGTAAAGATATCTTAGATCGAAGTTCATCATTTCCAGTGTAGTAATTTACTTAACATGCTAACTCTTGGAATGTTTGTTATGCTGATAAAATTCCAAGTTGCTTCCAATTCTTTAATTTGAACGCATTACAAAGCATGCTCAAATTTTCCAACCTATGACGACGCTATTTGGCTAGAGTCCTTGTTAGTACAACAAAAATCTATTTCTTTTTTTTTTCATTCCGCGACAATTAGTCAACAGAAAGTGTAAATGCTCTGATGATTCCACGCTCACACTGTCACTGTTTGGACAGGAAATTAGTTACTCCAGGTCTGGAGGCTTGATCGAGCACCAACATTCGAACCCCCAATTTGCAGGAATACACATAATTCGCATAGTTATTACCTTATTATTATTACCACAGGAAGTACGTAGTACATCGAAGAAGAGTCACCACCGTAATCCATACAGCAATGACCAACCAACACGACGAGTGGTAATTTTAATTACAAAACAAGGTAATTAATCACGAAAAGGTCACAGTAATCACGGCACAGACTAATACACGTGCGTGGACCAAGACCAATGCATCGATCAAACCGACGAGCGGCGGGCGGCAGTAGCATCAGGAGCACCACCAGCAGTGCCGGCGGCGGCGGCAGCGGCGTGGTCTTGGCCACCGGCGCCACCATCACCGTCATCCGCAGCAGCATCCATGTCCATGCCATCGCCATCCATCATCCGCAGCTCGTCGGCGATAGCATCAGCGAGCCAGGCCTCGGCGTCGGCCATGATCCCAGGGCTGAGCCGCACCATGAGGACGCAGAACTCGGCCTCGCTGAGCGCACCGTCCCCGTCCGCGCGCGTCGCCCTCCAGCACCATGGCGTCCGCCTCGGCGGGCGCCATCCCGGCCACGCCCAGCGCCGCGGCGGCCCCGCGGCGCAGGCTCTCGGGCGTGATGGCGCCCCGCGCCGGGTCCGCCAGCAGCCGGAACCCCGCGCGCAGCTCCGCTAGCAGGCCCGCCGTGCCCAGCCGCTCCCCCATCACCGGCAGCAGGTCCTCGTACGCCGCCGGCTCCTCGCTGGCGCCGGCGCGGGGGGCGTGGGTTGACATGGGCTGATGGTCGGGCGTGTGTTTTTAACAATGGAAATGGAAAAGGTTTGGACGCGCGCGGGTTGATCCAGTCACCCACATCGTCACCTCCGGCAGACCGGCGGCGTTAGAATTCTCTCTGCTGGACCTACCCATGCAACGCAAGGATTCTATATATTAATTATATATAGTTAGCATAAACAACCAAGTTTTTATCATAGATCTGACCAAGTTTATGTATATATAAATGAATAATGCCAAATAAATCCATGATATTAAAGTAGGTACTATGAAATTGATCATGAAATATACTTACCTACAATTATTGCCATAAATATCAACATTTTTTCTATTAGACTTGATCAAATTTGAAATAGTTTGACTTAAAACAAAGCCAAAAACCTCAATAATACTCGCAAGACAAGAGTAGTCGTCGTTAGAAAAAATTGACAATGAAGACACACATAGTATTAGTATATTATATGAACAGTGGCTGGGTACAAGAGAATGATGCTGATGCTGGTGCTGGGCCGGGAGCAGGACAAGGATATGGTGGCGGACAGCGTATATGAATGTGATATTGAATGCGGTCATAGAGAGCAGAATATATGGATCGATCAGGGTGTGATGACAATCAGACAAATTTAATGGATGTGCGTCGCTGTCCAAGGAAGCTTCCCAGAAGGCAGCAGCACCGGATCGAGAGCAGGACCGCCTCCGCCTGCCTCCGCCTTATCGCCGCCGCCGCGCGCTAGTACCATGCAACATCCATTAAAATTTGGCTCTAGATGCAAAGGTGTTTCCGTAGAGAAACAACAACGACCAGTGACTGCACTAGGCGGCTCTAGATGCAAAGGTGTTTAGGGTCTTGTTCTCTTTGTAAATTTTTTCAACTTGATAAATAGTACCATTTTCGTCTTATTTGACAAATATTATCCAATTGTGGACCAACTAGGCTCAAAAGATTCATCTCGTGATTTCCAACTAAACTGTGTAATTAGTTATTTTTTTACCTACATTTAATACTCCATGTAAGCGGCTAAAAATTGATATGATGGAGAGAGAGTGAAAAAACTTGGAATTTGGATGGCATCTAAACAAGGCCTAGATGAGAGCCAAGAGGAACGACTTTATTTCTTTTTGACGGATCTTTGGAATTGAAATTTATTTTAATAATTATAATTTCGACATAGACCAATTAAGCTAATACTTTTGTACGTAGAATATAGTTGTATACTACTGTTGGCCACATGTGGGAGATACTTTGTGTTGTATTTCTACTTCTAGGGATCAGAGCGAGTCGAAGAGCATGCTTATATATATGTGAACTGTAAGATTAATTTTTCATCTCTCACCCTATAAATTTAAGATAGGCTTATATATGAACTTAAAAAATTATAGAATATCAGATTCCAAGCCAAATAGCGTAGTTCAATAAGTAGATTCTAATTTCTCCAAAATAAAATGATCCAAATAGCCGGACAGTTTTTTTTTTGCGTCTCCGTCCCAAGAAATCGGACAAACGGGTTCATCCTTTTTTGAGGAAAAAAAATCCAATTAGATGGTTCGCATAAGGTAACCATGGGCATCTATCACGAATTGACGATATATATGTGTGCGCATGTAAAATCATCCAATATAGTCAGGTAGACAGGTACTCACATGGCTTGCCACATCGGCAGTTATATTCGTGGCGCAGGCCGGTCTAGGTCCGGGCTGGGGTAGTGAAACCTACAAGTTATTTGGTTGGGAGACTAAAAAGTTGCTTGGGTCAGGCAACCATTCCCGGGCGTTGGATTTCATCATCCTGAGGGTGGAGATGTCTGTCTGGATGTTTTTATGCTTGGGAAGCAGCAACCAAACAACCCCTTATTCCTTGGTGCGCCCTAACCTTCGTTTCTTTATACCAATAAAAAAACAAGATGGAACCTATCTATACTTTTAAACTAGATACTCTCTCACTTAATCTATGATAATCTTATCCGGAAAATATAGGGACGAGCCCTACCCTATACCACTTGGTCCTCGAATCAAACAAACTCGTACTTGTGCTAATGGCACACCACCACCACGAGGGTGTGCCGGTGGTACAAGGTCCAAACCATTTCTAATGAGTGTTGTTTTGCGTTTGGTGGCATATACTCTCTCTGTCTCAAAAAATACGATTCTTTCATTTCTTGATGAGTCAAAGAACTTTAATTTCACCATATCTAAAGCAAAATATATACTAATATTTATAACACAAGATAAGTATCATTAAATTAATTATAGACTATATTTTTATAGAAACCATATTTAAATACATAAATGTTGATACTACGGTAAGCTGCAAATTGTATTAACTGACATACTTCCTTCATTCCAATTTATAGGTATTTTTTGCTTTCCTAGACACATAACTTTTACTATGTATCTAAATGAGGTTGGATATCGAGCCAACTATAGCTTTTTTCGAGCTTTTGAATTGTTTAAGACCCAACTTCATGCTAAGCCTAACGAGCTGAGCCGAAGTCGAAAGTCCATCATCCAAATCAAGTCATTGTCATTCTAAAAGAAAAACGAGTCCAATCGGAGCACTTGGGTACCGAGCCACCAAGCCAGCTCAACGAGCTTTTTGTCCAATAATATATCTAGACATATCGTATATTTAGGTGTATAGCTAGCAAGACCTATGTATCTAAAAAGCCAAAATACCCAATAATTTTGGACAAAGGGTGGTAATTGTTAACACTTCTAATTTCGTTGCTTAAAAAAATCCTTGCCAGAATGCTGAAAAAACGAAACGTATTCTTTTTGAGATAATAAAAGTCATTAAACTATGTGTGGAATTGAATGGAAGGACAAAAAAAACTGGACCACACTCCTGACCGCACAATATATCGTACCACGCGACACTAGAATGACGAAAATCTGCAAATGTCCCCTGATCCCCTTTTTCCACATAAACCTCATTTCCATCTACTGTACTTTTTTTAAAGAAAATCTTTTTAATGAAAAACAGGCTAAACCCGATCGAGAAAAACTTTTTTAAAATTTTTTTGCACGCCTCCTTGATTGCTCACGCAGCGGCCGCCACACACTGTCCTAGCACTACTCTACATGCATACACCCTGTTCGCTTGAACTTGTTTGGCTTATAAGCCGTACTTTTTTAGCCAACGAACAATATTTTTCTCTCACATCAAATCAGTCAATAATACTTTCAGTCATGGCTTATCAGCCAAACCAGCGCTGAAGCTACGTGTGTTAATTAGCATCCGGCAGTTAGTCCACGCGGGCAGTATTTGTATAGCACTAATTCAAAACTGCACTGCCACGAACTCACGAGTCACGAATCTATGTTGTTACCGTATGCGTGTTGCTCTTTTTCCTCAATTAATCTTTTCTTTCGTTACCTCAAGGACATCTTAGAGGCGGCGCAGGACGGGACGACGGCGGCGGCGGCGGTGGCGACGTACGGACGACGACGCCGCGACGCGGAGGCTGCTAGAGAGGCTGGAGGAGGCGCTCGGCCGCGCGCTGCAGGTGGTGCGCCGGTGCCAACGCAGCAGCAGCTTCCTTCGCAGCGTGTAGAAGGGAGAGACAAGAATGGATCAACCGCACTTGTATTGATCTCTGATAGGGTGTACATATACACATTACAACAGGCCGGTGGCCGATCCGATCCTATATATGCGGGCGTACATGCGGTGCGCGGACGAGCGCGCTCCGCGGAGAGTGGGCGCGGACGGACGCGCTGTGGGCGTGGCATGCTGAGGCGCTGAAGACCCGGTCCTAGCCACTAGACGAGCTCCTTTGACACAGCGTCGTCATCGTCGTTGCCGGCGGCGGGCGGATGGCGGACCCGCTTGACGGGGTGGAAGCCGAGATCGACCGGTGCATTCTCGACCTCGCCGCCGTCAACTCTCTTCGCATTGCTCGCCTCGAGACACTACTCGTTCGCCAGCACACCGCCGTGGCGGCAGCCAGCACGGAAGACAGCAGCGAAAAGGATGATGAGAACATGAGGAAGAAGAAGGGCTCTGCCGAGAGCATCGTCCCTGACAAGAAGACCGACCTGCAGGTGCCCATCGGCAGTGGTGCCTACATGAACCATGAGAACACCACAGCGATTGGCGTTCCAGTCTGCACAGCGACTGCAGCCGCGCACGAGCACGAGATGGTGCCGCCACCGTGTTACGGGTACGGCGGGTATGGTTACAGGAGCTATCATGGCTACTGGCGAAACCATGGCTGCAGCGCCTGTGACTGCCGCTCTGCTGGGACGACGACAATGCTGGTGGGCCGTCCGATGCTGCGTTCTACCGCGCCCAGTTCTCATCGTACCCGTCCATGTTCAGCGACGACAACCCCAACTCCTGCTCCATCTCGTGAGCTCCTCCTAGAACATCATGTCAGGACAGGTTGGTTGGTTTGCACATGATATCAGGTGTAAACCAACCAACCCCATCCATTGGATCAGCATCCAGTGATCCTGATGGATAGTTTCCAAGTTTGTACAGGTTGGTTGGTTTGCACATAAAATGTTGCATAGCAGAGTACAGATCCAGATAGTTTTATACTTAAAAATGTTGTATTAGGCCTCAAGCATGATTTCATGCAAGTGTAAATTCACAGTAACATGGTAGTAGGTTTTTTTGAACAAAATTGTTACATTAAAATTGACATGTTATAGTTAGGTCGTCCAGAGACATGTTTGTTGTTGGTAAGGCCCAAATTAAACGTCTCCCCTCCATCTCCCCCCCCCCTCAACATTATTATTGTGTACTATGTAGACAGTGTGTCATATTAATTGACAGTAGAACCTTTGTATATCTCAAATATTATGAACGAAACATTCAAACATGCCTTATACACGCCGAGCACGCCGTTGGATATATGCCCAAGAGGCAATCCATATTCGTACCACGCTAATGGGCATTTAGGGTAAAAGACCATTTACGGTGATCTATATATAGAAGGGGCAAGGGGCAAGGGGCAAGGCTTGGGTGACACTTCACACCATACAACCAAGCTGCCGTTGCCGCCTCTCTCTCTCTCCCAGGGCTGCAGGTGCTCAAGCCGCCGCCACCATTCTTCCACTCGTTGCACACACAGTGCTAGCACACCGGTGTCACGGCATTCCATCCTCGCACGTGTTAATCGGCAACGAACGTGAGGTACATGGCGAACGTGTACGACAACTCCAACTACATGGACGTGCTCCTTTTCTGCTGCGCTGCGCGTCTAGGTATCGATCCATGATTCTCTACTCGCATGTTATCTTGGGTGAACGTGGTAGATGTGCTAGCGCGTACCGAACCTGTTTTTCAACACGCCGCTTCCGAGGCTTCTCGAGCTCCTTCGCTAGCAACGCTTCTGCCACCCCCGCAACAGACACGCCCGCGCGGGGCCTTCACCAGTGGTGAGGGGTGCCCGCGGCAGCGAAGGCAAAGCCGGCCTCCCCGCCTTTGGGTGAGCTTTGGGCTTCGGCATAGCCTTCCCGACCACTACTGTGGACGCCGCCACATCGTTGGTGTCCCGCGGTTGTAGCGGCCGCCGGACTGCGGCGCCGGCAACTACGGCCAGGCCACCGCATTTCGCCTCTATCCCCATCAGCCTTCGGCTTCGAATCTCAATTGGGAATGATTTGGGCCATGTTCGTTTCGCTGGATTTTGGCTTATGCTGATTTGTTACGAGAGGAAAACACTGTTCCTTCGCTAAAAAGTACTGAACGAACAGGATGGTTGATTGGTAAGGAAGGGGGCGTCGTTGATGACTGAGTTTATTTGTTGCGATTTGGTGGATTGCGGGATTCCAATTTTGAACTGTCTAACGGCAGGTGAGCTATGGTTTGAAATAAACTGTCTAACGGCTAGTTTCCATCTTCTGGGAAGGAAAGAACGTGTCACGTGCGACTACCAAAATGTCCATGAAATCTCTTATCCCGGCCCATTTGGTGCCGGAATGAATGGCCCAACACTGGAGTCGCACCACAAAGGCCCATCCACCCCTTCCACCCTCGTGACGCAGGCCGGGTCCGGGTCCGGGCAGGGCTACCGAAACTGATTACTTGTTCCCGCGAAGACGAACCCTCGTGCGCGCCAAAATCCTTGTCCACTCCCGCCACTATTCCTATTTACCGACCCCACCTGCCCGCCGACGGCCGACGAGCACACCTCGCCACTCCACCAGCCAGTCCTCCTTCCCCCCGCCCGACATCTCTCGGATCTCGCGTGCGTAGACAGATGGGCGCCGTGGGCCAGCTCCGTCGCCGGACCTGGGCGCGGACGCCGCCAGGTCCCAGACCGGATGCCGCCGGCGGCGACGAAGACGACGTGAGGTGCGAGGCGTGCGGGTCCGGGGAGGCGGCCGCGCAGCTGATGCTGTGCGACGGGTGCGACCGCGGGTTCCACATCTTCTGCCTCCGCCCCATCCTCCCGCGCGTCCCCGCCGGCGACTGGTTCTGCCCGTCCTGCCGCGCCCCGGCCTCCTCCAAATCCGATTCCGCCGCCGCTGCTCACACCGTCGCCAAGAAGCCTAAACGTGAGTTCCCCCATTTTCTTTGCGATTTCAGTTGCAATTAGCCATTTGCGCTTCTCCGCTCAATCATCGGCGATTTGTTTGTGTCCCGCAGAGTTCCCGCTGGTCCAGACGAAGATCGTGGATTTCTTCAAGATCCAGCGGAGCCCGACGCCAGCCGATGCGTCGGCGGAGCTGAAGAAGCGGAAGCGGAAGTCCGGGTGCGCGCTGGTGGCATCAAAGAAGAAGAGTCGGAGTCTGCTGCCCTTCATCCCCAGCTCGGACCCGGCGCAGCGGCTGCGGCAGATGGCGTCGCTGGCGACGGCGCTGACGGCGACGGGCGCCGCGTTCAGCGAACCGCGCGGCGCTGGAGGCTGGTGGGATGCAGGTGCTGCCGCGGGAGGACGCGGAGACGCTGGCGCGCTGCCAGCGGATGATGGTGCGCGGGGAGTGGCCGCCGCTGGTGGTGGCGTACGACCCCGTGGAAGGGTTCACGGTGGAGGCGGACCGCCCCATCCGCGACCTCACCATCATCACCGAGTACGTCGGAGAAGTCGACTTCCTCCGGAACCGGGAGCACGACGACGGCGACAGCATGATGACGCTGCTGTCGGCGGCGTCGCCCGCGCGGAGCCTCGTCATCTGCCCCGACCGCCGCAGCAACATCGCGCGGTTCATCAACGGCATCAACAACCACACGCCGGAGGGGAGGAAGAAGCAGAACGTCAAGTGCGTGCGGTTCGACGTCGGCGGCGAGTGCCGGGTGCTACTGGTGGCCAACAGGGACATCTCCAAGGGGGAGAGGCTCTACTACGACTACAATGGCTCTGAGCACGAGTACCCAACGCACCATTTCGTGTGATGAATGTGACCACAAGTCCACAACACCAAGAGCGGCGAGGCGATCGGAGTCCGCCATTGCAGCTCCAGCTCTGATCTGACTGCCAAAATTGGACCTTCGAACTGGCCACTGGGGAAAGGAATTGTAATGTCAGATGTTCCTGTTGTACAACATTAGGATGGCTTTTGGATGAACCAGCATCATCAGTGTTTTGGGCCAGTTTGAATTAGCTAGCGCTAGTTAATAGTTGAAGCTATAAATTAGTCTAAATTAGTTGAGGTTAGCTAGCTCGTTGGCTAACTACTAGTTGAAGACTTGCTAAAAAAAATTAGCTCATCTATTATTCCCTTGCTTGGATGGATCGGAGCTAAATTAGCTCTATGCATCCAATCAGGCCTTACGAAAGCAATGGCAAAGGCCAACAAGTTCACCATCTCATACCTTGTTTCATCTGTATCCAGTGTTCTTTTATACTTCCAAATCCGAAACGACAGTAAAGGTAAAGAGAAGCGAAAAACTGGCTTTACACATTGGCCCTGCAGTCACATATAGGTGATGTGTTTTGGATATCGATGTCTCTGAAACATGTTAAAAAGGCAAACTTACTCATCACTTTCAAACATAAAAAGGGGCTACTAAACTGAAGTTGTTGACTGCACTTTATGCATCAATAGTCTTGTTGCGTCAGCTTCGAAGTTGAAACTGTAAAGTCAAATTTATTAGTTGAGCTAAAAATTAGCGCAAACTTATTAGTTGAGCTAAAAATTAGCCTAAATTAGCTGGAGTTAGCTAGCTAACAACTAGTTGAAGACTTAGCTAAAAAATTAGCACATCAATTAATCCCTTGTTTAGCTGGGTTAGAGCTAATATTAGGGAAAAAGTCTACTTAACCCCAACACCTTTCATACATAGTCTACTTCACCCCCCAACTATGAAACCATCTGTTTTACCCCCTGAACTTTCCAAAACCGTCTATTTTACCCCCCGGCGGATTTTGACAGCGGCTTGCTACAGTAACAGCGGGTTCCCAAAACCGTCTATTTTACACCTTTCATACATGGTTCCAAAACAGTAACAGCGGGTTCCAGAACCGCTGTCAAAAAACCGCCCGGGGAGTAAAATAGACGGTTTTGGAAAGTTCAGGGGGTAAAACAGACGGTTTCATAGTTGGGGGTGAAGTAAACCATGTATGAAAGGTGGGGGTTCAGTAGACTTTTTCCTAAAATTAGCTAGCTAACAATTAGCTATATGCATATAATCAGGCCTTATGAAAGCCAAAGGCCAGCAAGTTTGCCCAGCTCATTCCTTGTTTCATCTGTTTCCAGTATTCTTATAATGGACAGTGAAGGTAAAGAGGAACGAAATACTGCCCCTGCAGTCACATATAGGAGATTCGTTTTGGACACCAATCAATGTCTCCGAAACATGTTTTTGGTGTATATATGTTATGTTTACAGACATGGTAAAAATGCACTTTTGTAAAACTACTTTTCGCAAACTTGCACATGTCATTTTCAAACATAAAAAATGACAGTGTAATTTGTAATAAGTCTGAAGCTATTGACTGCTCTTTATGCGACAATAATCTTGTTGCTTCAGCTTGGAACTCAACTGAGGCTCTACCGCCACAAGCTGATACGTACTGTACATGTACAGTAACCAACATTGCCTTTGCTGTAGGAAACAGACTATATATATCAGCAAAGGAACATAACTTCGATTCTTGCATAACAGCTCAACACTTACAGATGAAGCAATCTAGAGATTCATCAGCATAATGGCACAATCAAGGTAGCCAGAAAATAACGCCAACAAAGGTTCAAACGAATACTGAAAGCTACCATTCAATACTACATGAGTTACAATCTGGAGTCGCTTCATACTGAAATGGGAAATGATAAGCTAACATGGAAAGTCAACACGAGCTAACGCACTCATAGTACATGGGTTTTCCTGCTGGCTAACATTACCAACTTTAACATAACATCACTTGCACATTCATCTGATGCGGGAGGCTTGATGCTTGAACACAGGCATGGAATGCTTCTAGTCTCTCTCGTCCCTCCCAGGTGAGCGGCTACACAATTCAAACAAGTCATTACTCACTGTGACGCATTATCGCAATGTGCGAAGACGCGAGATGACACCGAAGGGTATTGCTAACCTGGGGGACCTGTCATAGCCGGGGCTGGCTTCCCGGCGCTCACGACGAGGGCTAGCTTCCCGGCGCTCACGATCATAGTCAGGGCTGCGTCCTCCCCTGCCATGATCACCTCTGCCACCATTGATTGGGCTTACTCCACGGCCATTATCGGGGCTGTGTCCTACCCTGCCATTATCAGGGCTGCGTCCTCCCCTGCCATAGTCTGGGCTCCCCCTCTCCTTGCTTCTTCCGTAGTCTGGGCTACCTCTCTCCCTTCCTCTGCCGTAAGGACTAGGAGAACGCCTTCTACCTGGGGATCTTTCACGACCTCTCCTGTCTGGGCTGTATCCATTCCCTCTTTCACCTTTTTCATCGTCATCACGAAGTGCATACTCAACTGAGATGACCCTGTCCATGAAATGGCTGCCACAAGAATGCCAGATTCAATCAAGGTGTAACATGCAGACACGGAAATTAAACTAAAGATGGTGCAGCAAACTATGAATAAAATACCATGGCTAAAATATTCTGAATAAGTAAAAGACAAGCGTGAGCTAGTACCTTCCATTAGTACCCTCCAATGCTCTAGTAGCATCCTCCTGCACCTCAAACTGGACAAAGGCAAAGTTCTTTTTGATTCTTACATTTGCAACCCTGCCATATTTATCAAAGTGCCTCTCCAGATCTCGAATTCTTGTGTTGATCGGGTCAAAGTTGATAACAAACAAGGTTTTGGTCTGTCTTGCATTGGTTGGAGATCTCCTTGAGCTGCCTTTTCGACCAGCAGTGCGATCCTCCTGAAAAATAATGGATATGATAATTCAGTAAAACAAGACTAAGTTATCGAGTGCTAATGGGTCAATACTCTTTTCCACATCTGCTCACCTTTGTCCACTCAACTCTGATTCTCCTTCCTTTTCTGCCAAAATCAATTCCATCAAGTCTATGGATAGCATCTTCAGCATCACGTTCATCTTCCATGTAGACAAATGCAAACCCTTCATGTTGAACACAAGGTAAAAGGAGAAGTGACTGGTTGTTCAAAGAAATTACAGTATGGTCCAAGCCGTAAACAGAAAAGGCAACAAGATTAATCATGATGCAGTCTCTGCTGGAAACTTTTCTAAGATCACCTCGCAAATCTACAGTCTGATACACTAGAATAAACAGGAACAGACCTTGTATATGTTGAACTAAATGATGTCAGGGTAGTAGAGTACAACAATCCAAGCATTCATGGTACATCAAAGAATTGGTGGTGCAACCTCCACTTCTCTCCACTCTCCAGCCGGCCATGAGATTGGCAAGGTTGGATTGGCGAGGAAATGGTGATCAGGCGGGGGAGGAGGATGCAATGTTGATCGTAAAAGTAAGACATCGGTCACGAGGTGGTCGTTTCCATGTGAACAGATGCCATGGTGGACTGTGAACTCCTGGCGATGGACAAGGCATGAGGTGGGGGCTCAGGCAGAGGCAGTAAAGGTAGAGCTAGTCCATCAACCAGGAAGAGCACATATGCTCCATGAAATTCCTGCGGCAAAGAAATAATTGAGTACCGGACCTAAATTTTAAGAAAGAAACTTTTTTTTTCTTTCTAAATTTATCCTGATACACACTTGTCCAATGACTTATAACAACAAAACATAAACATAATCTGATTTTGCTGAAACTCCTCTGGCTTTCGCATCGGATGGAGTAACAACTTGGTCTGTTTGCAGCTTCGTACACCAGGCATGGCTGAAGGAAGATCGACAATCTCTGCCACGTCATGGTGATAGCAGTTTCCACGTGAAGATCACATTCTTAGAGGAGTTATGTCTTATGTGAAGATCACGTATTTGTGATGGTTAAACCAATATTGCAATCAAATGGTAAAAATCAAATTTTAAACAAAGGCATTGTTATGTTTTTGGATGGCATTGTCTTATGAATATATTCAGTAATGCTTCAGTATCTGAATTGAAGAAATAAAATGGTTCAAAGCTGCAGCTGCTGACACTGGATGTAATTCACTTGCTGAAATAAAGCACTGCCTTTGACCAAAAACAACATATAGTTGCTGCAGCAATTGTTGTTCTGCTAACATAGATCATAAATTTGAGAACAGAGTTACAGACTAACCTGTCTTCAGATCCACTCGTTCCACCCTTCCATACTTCCCGAAAAGGCGCTCGATCTCGGAGATGCGAACATCATAATCAAGGTTCCCACAAAAAACTGGCCTCATTCTACAAATCAAAATTATATTCCCTGAATCAGTACAACAGTATTAAAAAAGCATTAGTACAGGAATACAATACAATATCCAACATTCAGCAAGCCAAACAGCATTAACAGCAGATGCTTGCAGTCAATCAACCAACTTCATCCTTTAGGATGAGGAATCATACCATCTTATTACAAAAATCACACCACAACGACCCAAACGAGTTTACTACACAAATCCGACTCATAACTCAGAAGAAAATAGAGAAATAAACACATCGCTTTCAACTTTACCAAAAGATAAGCACATTGTGCCTCCTTCATTGGATACAAGATATGCTGCCTGTCTAAACACTAATAAGGTGTCCAACTGGACAGGTTATTCGACCTGCAGACTGGTCAACGCTAGTACACAGTATATACCTGTCTAAACAAACAAACATTTACACATATTCTGCATTGGGTTACAGATTATTTCAAATGGGAGCAAGCGAAACTGAGCGAAACTTCAAATATACACAGTAGCAACACAAGTGAGTAGAATTGCAGAAACCAATGAATACTGAAAGATAGGGGGCGGACCCATGGTGTACACACGTTCACGCAATAATTTTGGCCAAAAATAATCGAAGATAGTAGGCATAATACACGTATACGCTCGTAACTACATCAGATCCGAATACAAACATCCAAACAACTTAGGTTAGGGTTCGGACAGGAGCAGACCCAGCCAAGGACATGGGCATGAACGTGCAAACCCAATAATTTTTTGCAGAAACAATGGAAGATAGTAGCCATAATACATACCTACGCTTGTAACTAGATCAGATCCGAATACAAATACCCAGATAGCTCAAGTTAGGGTTCGGGCGCTCGGTTTCGCGCAGCAGGAAGGGGCTAGAAGGGGTGCGCATACCTGGCGGTTGCTCGTTGCCGGCGAAGACCTGGCGAAGGGGCCGGCGAAGACCTGGGCACCTGGAGAAGGGCGGCGGCGGAGGGTCGCCCAGTTGTCGCCGAGAGCGAGAGAAAGAGGGGGAGAGCAGGCGGGGTGAACGGATGAAGAAAAGGCAAGGTTGAACGGACCCTAGAAATTTGGCTGGGCCTGGAGCGGGCCGGATTTTGTTTTGTTTTGATCCCGACACTCGGACATCGTGTCTAGGCCCAGTTGTTTTCAAACAGTTTGTCTTTTTTTTTAAAAACGAAAAAACAGATTGTCTTGTTATAAACCTTATATATTTGCTAAAAAAAAGTTAAATTTGTAAAAAAAAACCTTATATTAGTTAATAGTAATAACTTGCATACCAATAAGAATACATGTGCCCCACAATCAAATCTTAGAATTATCAAACAACGTATCTGTCTAGCTAACAACAAGGTTGAAAGAGGATCCCGTATCTTCATCTGAATGAACATAAGTATATGTTGTATTCACTAAGTCCTTGATTGCTTCCAAATTTCATGGAATTTGTTCTGCATGACTATGAGACAGGCTCAGGAGGAGTCCTCTATTGTTCGAACATTATACTGTACTCTTTTTTTTTCATCTATGTTTTTTTTTTCTCACAGAGATTTCTCGCAAATGTTTAATAATATGGCAATATCAATTTATCAATGCAAGAATTGTTGACAATCAAATTTGGTGTTGCATCTTACAAGGACACGGGATAGCCAAATTTGATGTGTATCATAGTTTAGTCCTTCGGCCATTAGTTTGAATAATTCGGATGTTATATACTATTGTTTTTGTTATTGTTTGGCCAAATAATTGTGTAAGTGTTGAAACATTCAGGCCGCATACGCAGGAGAGTAGAATGAGATTGCCTGGAGGAATATAAACGGTTAGTTTTGACAGGAGGCTAAGAGTAAGACTGACCGGTTCGCCGGTGCGTCTTGCATTGGTTAGATTATTAGATGCTCGCATGGTGAAAAGGGAAGCAAAGCAGCAGCAGAAATGCTACCAATCCTCTAAGTTTCCCCTATTTTTTATACATTCCAATGGGGCCTAAACATTTCAAGATGTCACGTACTCAGAGAGAACAAAGGTGTCCATTCAGTAGAGTTTCCGATTGACGTCTACGCGCAAAATACAGCAAAGCCTCTCTATCTATCAATACGTGCTATGCACCGGCAAACCATCATTGCTATGCCTTCGCATTGCTCCAGCATCTTTGGCCTTCTTTACTTTGCGAAGGGATAGTAGATCCCGTTATTATGTACATCATAGATCGTGAACTGTAAATACGTGGCGCACGTAGATGTAGCACCCTTCTTTTCAGGACGATTCTGCATTTTCCATGGCATGGAAATCTATTGATTTGAAGTTGGAACATGACCAACTATGCAGGAGAACTGCAGCCTGCATGCCAGAATACCAAACCTGTGCTGCGGCAGCTGAGCTGAAGGCACCTATAGTCCATGAAGAAAAAATAGCTGGTTACTGGCGGTTAGCAGAAGCTCAAATTTCAGGATAAAAAAAAAAACAAAATCTGAACTCAAGCAGGTTGCGAGATCCTGTCTTTTTACCTGCAGAGCAACTCTCAGGCGGTCAGGCCTAAGTTACTTAAACTGTTAAAAACCATGCCAACAAGCAATTCCTTGGGCATTTTGGAGGCACTTTATAGTCATACTTTCGCCAGATGATTGTGCAATCTCACGAAATCATCCAAAATCAGATCAGAAGGTCTAGCCTGCCAGCAGTTGACAAGTGAGCAAAACAGCACATGCGCACAGAGAGAGTGGGAGGAGGGGATACAGAAGAAGGAGCGAGAGCTTACTGTAACTGGAAGGCCAATGTTGTCAAGAGCAGCCTCGATCTCAGAGGAAGAGCATAGGTACTGAAGAGATTTCCTAAGCATCTTGCGCTTCCCCATGAAAGCAGAATTCACCTGGAAATCAAGGACAGGAGCCAATCTTAATAGTAGTTACAAACATGTGGGAATTAATTTCAACCACAGAAAGCAATTCAGATTTGGGACAAGTTTCTGCACATCATGGCCCCATGACCCACTACTCACCATTGAAAAGAAGCTTTTCGGGGAACTAACTGGCGGATACTCCTCCGCATTCTTTAGTTTGAAGCTGATAACAGCACCATCAACCTGCAAATGGAATTGGCCAAGAACAGTATAGACTTGAAATAAGGTTCATGAAACTCAAACCACTGGGAAACAACAAAATGTTATTCCCCAAACTAAGTCACACATATAGAAATAAATTACCTTTGGCCGAGGGAAAAAATTCTCTCTGTCAACTCTGAACTTGTATTCAGGTTCTGAAAAGAAGAAACAAAATACATTCCTGTCAACAAATGCAAGCTAATGACTGTGAATAGCTACACAAACATTGTTAGGGCTATGTTGCTCACATTTCAAAATAATTTGATTGATCTCTTTAAGCAGAATCCTAAGATAATGCGCTCTCCCAAAAAAATTTTCTCGAATACGCAGGAGAGCTGCGTATCATTGTATTAAGAGAGAAAAAAAACGGTCCCGTACAATTATACCCCCCTACTCCGGACCGAGCCGTAGGAGGGTCCTGTAACAAAGTTTTTCTAACCGATAAAAACACACACTCTAGGTGAGACCTGACCAACGCTCTAAACGCCTACCTACAACATTAATGTGTACTTTATCTACACGAGGAACCCCTAACAAATAAAACTAGATGTTTAACTATCTGTAACGGTCCTGATCAAATGTATACAATATAACTAAAAGACTGATAAAAGTGCACTATAACTATTCAAGGCAGACAGAGTGATACAACATAAGATTGTTGTCATCAGCTGCAGGGCAGGGTCTAGAATCAGAGTAGCTAGCAGATATTTATGATGAATCTATTAAATGTAGGGCGTGAACTAGCAGTTATGGAATATGTATCTCGACTGTTTTCTTTAAGTGACCTCCATTATTCTATGGGCAACATAGAAGCGAACTTTACAGCACAATTTAATTAAACACTTTAAAATCTGAGTTTGTATTTTTTTCCCATTTTTTCTATTTTTGCTCCCCTCGGTCCCTCATACTTTTCACTGAGAGCTTCCTTTATCCTCCTCGGTAAAAAGGGATACTCAGAAGCCTGGCTATTTATATGAAACAAATAGATAAGATGTAAATATACTCTCAACACTAATCGAAGTCCCTCAACATGTTCCATACAAAAACTTACTTGAGTAGAAATTCACAAACACGTTGATAGGTCGGTACTCTGGAATTTGTATTGAAGCATCTGCAAGGCGTACTGCTGTTTCATCCTGGAAATGAGGATACGAGAATGAAGTATAATGAGTCAATAACAATATTAAAAAATAATTCATTCAAACAGAGAGTGGAGGTAAAATAATATAGATTGAAATGGCCCCTTGAAAAAAATGGGTAGTGTTTCTAAAATTGAAATCACACAGAAATACATGATAGTCAAAAGTTCTATATCTTCTGAAATCTGGACCACCACTGGCTCGTTATTAACTGTCTGCAACATTAGCCATTGCAAAAGTGAATGTAAGAGCTGTCTCAAACCTGAAGCATAAGCGCCACGACAGAGAAAACATCCCCCATTGGGAGAAGTAGTTTGACAACTTCGGTGCTGACATTGAATGGTAAGTTTGATACAACCTGCAAAGTAGAATCTGGAACATGATCACAAAAACAAGCTCCATATAGATTTCTGCGGATGAGCATCAAGCTCACCTTTGCAAGTTTTTTGGTGGCATAGTATTTCTCCTTCATCAAAGGAAGAAAATGGGAACGGATGTGAAATTTTGTGATGTCATCTTCAATGACCTGCGCCAGATTTGTACTATCAACACAGATCGAGTGTAAGGTAACTGCAAGCTTTACTAAAAGCAATATTGTTGATACATTTTGAGCTTCTGATTTCCTAATTATTTGACAGAATTATTCTTCTGTAATGACTAATGAATGACAACAGATAGAAATTTTAGGTTGTTTAGAGGACATCAGTGTACATCTTGATGTCCTGGAGAGCAACAAGAGAATATTGCACACCAGATGTGTTAAGGAAGCATGACATGTCAAACGAAGAGCTAGATGCTACCTTCAACTGTTCTGTAGATCCAAACCTATCTTTAACGAGGGTAGCCATATGCTTGTCCTGTTACCAAAAAAAGAAAAGAACATGATGATGCAGGTTATCGATCCTTAATAGAAAGCTTCTAGACTTCAACTGTTAAAGCTCCCAAAATGAGAAGAAAATTACAACGACTTTCTCCAGCCCAAAAGGCAAACACAGCTGGAATATCAGGGGAGGCACTTCTATTTGGATGGATACACCTCAAGTTCAGCTTCAACTTATAATGTCATGCTCACGTTTGAATCTATAATGTGTTTAAAGGAACCAAAAGAACTTATATCAGACAGATAACTTCTTCCAATCTTTCGCAGGTAACTGAAAGGCCAAACTATCGGCACATCATTCACAACTCAGTCTCAGGTCAGTCTATATAAAAGTCTCAAAGATGAGCATGATCTCAGTTTGAACTTAGAGCCTACAGGTCCCAGATCCCAATTAATAAAAGGAAAAACTACTCATACTCGAAGTCTGTAGCCACATATCCATCCAAACAGAGCTACATTTTGAGGCATCAACAATAGAGACACCAATGATAGTATCATCATCCACTAGAAATGAACCAACACCTTCCTTCACCCAAACGCGCTGAACCATTTCACACAATTCCAATTTCGTTTCAGGAGCTCGCTCTCACTTTCAGCAGTCAGCAGTCAGCAGTCAGCACAGAGCCCAGCTACGGAACACCAAGCAAAGCAACGATACGGACCTTCTCGACGGCGAAGACGGTAGCGCCGGCCTGGAGCAGCGCGGCGGTGAGCGAGCCGGTTCCCGGGCCGATCTCGAGAACGACGTCACCCTCCTCCACCCTGGCCGCCGCCACCAGCTCCTCGTTCACCTTGGAGCTGAGCATGTAGTTCTGCGGGGAGACGAGAGCCGCGTCGGTACGTGGTGATTGGTGAGCCCGTCAGTGGGTAGCGCGGATTCCGAGGTGAGCGGGAGGACCTGCCCGAGGGATTTTCGGGGGACGTGGCGGCCGCGGGAGTTGAGGGAGCGGATGGTGGAGTGGTAGTCGTCGGCGCCGGGCGTGGCGGCCGCGGCGGTCGCGGCGCGGAGGATCCTCCCGCGACGACGTGACGAGGTATGGACATGAGGTGTCGGCGGCGGGGGCCGGCGGCGAGGTGTCGCCGGAGACGGAGAAGGGCGCGGTGGCCCTGCGGATAAGGAGCTGAGCGCCACCATTTTCGAAGGTTTTCAGTTTTCCTCGCCCTTTTTTATTTTCCTTGCCTTTCGTTTTTTTCTCGTATACGTTGTTTCTTTTTTAAAAAAAGGGCACTATTATGGTGTGCCGGGCCGGGCCGGCTTCGTAGTATCAATTGATGGGCTTTTGCAAATTTTTGTAGCTTTTTTTCTTCAAAAAATAAATGTTTAGAGCTTGATGAAGCTTCCACTCAAAGTTTGGGTGGTATTGGCAAATCAGGCTCTAACAGGCTGTTTGATTTGCCGGATTAGCCCTCGAGGTTAGATGATGTGGGTTATATAATTCTCTAAAAAAAAGATGATGTGGGTTATATAGTACGTAGGGCTTATTTTTAAGTTTGGCACAAACTTTGGTTTATGCAGGGTGTCAAGAAACTCCAGTTTCTTCTTTGCAATGAAAAAAAAAAGAAGAAACAAAGAAACAAAGAAACTTCAGTTTCAGAGACAGCCATACAAGAATGCTCACGGGAACCGTCATCTGTGGTTGCTTCAACATCCAATCCAATCACTCCCATATTACAATTAGGCCTTGTTTAGATATATTCGGATTAGTATCAACACACATGGGTTAGGATAGATTGGAGTGGCACTTAAACTAAATTTCACCTTAATCCACCACAATACATCTGGAGTGAGATAAATCCGATAACATCCGAATAAGGCCGGGTGTTAATCGCCCCCATAGTCTGCGATCCGAAATGACCTTGCACTGTTCCCACATACGCTGCCGTGGAGCCATGGAGGTGGAGCATCATCCAGTCAGCGCGATGAGAATGAGGATTATCATCGGGAAAGCAAAACAAAACAAAAAGGATGACGATGTACGCAAGCAGCTGCGCAGAATTAAGCTGATTAGAGAGGTTATATTTAGTTATATACGTATATTCCTATTCCTGCTACGTGACATCACACGAAACGACTAAGTTCATGCGAACTCACATGAATGAATGCTGCTGCCGCCGCCTGCCAATGCTATCCATATCCATATCACCTCCACGGGCAACTAGAGCCCTAGACATGTATCATGCCATTGCACATTTGCACTGTAATAGCTTCATTCACACCATAAATCTACTCCCAAGTCAAGAGAAATGCCATCATATCAAAGCTGGAGAAGAATAAAGGTGCATGTTTTGGCAACTCGAGCATATGTTGGCTTGCTCAAAAGAAAGGAATATATATGCACCACTGGCAGGTGTCCACCCTGGTTACTCTCTACATTGTTAGCCATTTAACCTGTACACTTTACAAGTCTCGCGCCCATGTCCATGGACTGCCTACCCAAAAACTGCTTTCCAGGAGCCAAGTTCCCGAGATCAGGGAAGGGAACCTCAAAATATCATACCAAAATCTGTCACCATTTCCCATCTTCCCGAGAATCCACCAGAGGCACGGTGCATGACCCCTTGTGTCGATTACTGCAACCATACGATGGGGAAAAATTTCGTTTGCGAACTCCTACAATCCTCACCGTGGCATCTGTGTCACTGTCGCAGCTGTCACAAACTACATCTGGAATTCGCGAGCTACCAATGATCTCATCATTCCCCTCCGATCTTTCCGGCGATGCTATTACAATCAAATCGCCTTCTTTCTCAGCTTTTGAGCTGCCAGAATCTGCTTTCACCGTACCTTCTTCATCTTTGACGCTATCCGAAAATGAAGCTGCTTCTGATAGAACACAGGCTGTGGCCTTCTTTTCGCGTTTGTAGCTGATAGTTGGAGCTTTGTCTAATACTGAAACCTCAGAGTCAGAGATGTCTTCCACAATCTTATCAGCGTGCCCAGACTCCGCACTTGCTCCTTCTGACACTGCAACCTTGGTGCCTTTGTTAATCTTACCAGCTTCTCCAAACTCCACACTTGCTTCATCTGATTCTGCAACATTGATGCCTCCTATACTCTTACCAGCATCTCTATACTCTTCACTTGCTTCTTCTGGTTCTGAATCATTGATGCCTTCAATACTCTTACCAGCATCCACAGACTCTCCACTTGTGGTCTTCCTTTTGCGTTTGTAGCTGCTAGTTGGAGCTTTGTCTAATACTGCAACCTCAGAGTCAGAGATGTCTTCCATACTATTATCAGTGTATCCAGACACACTTGCTCCTTCTGACACTGCAACCTTGGTGCCTTTGTTGGTCTTACCGGTCTCTCCAAACTCCCTACTTGCTTCATCTGATTCTACAACGTTGATGCCTCCTATACTCTTAGAAGCATCTCTAGACTCTTCACTTGCTTCTTCTGGTTCTGCAACATTGACGCCTTCAATACTTTTTTCTTCTGATGCTGCAACAATGCCTTCAGTACTCTTACCAGCATCTCCTGACTCTCCACTTGCCTCTTCTGATGCTACAACCTTGATGCCTTCATTGCTCTTGACAGTGCTTCCCAACCCTCCTACCACCTCTACGACCATTTCTGAACTGTCAGAAGGTGCATCTGCTTTCAGTTCTCCCTCCTTTGTGCTGTCATCGGGATCAGATGCATCTGCTCCTGATAAAGCATCATCCAGCTTGGCACTTTCAAATTCTTCCAGCAGTAGCTCTCTTATTCTCTGCCTTAGATCAGATGCTTCTTCAGGTTTGAACCAACTCCGACCAAACTGTGTAACAAACACAAGTTCATTATTGAAACCTCTCAAACAATCTTAAAAGTTGAACATAATCAGCAAACAAGAACTGAACAAGTACAGAAAAGAGCTGGCAGCACTAACCATATCAAGTTTATCAATTGTGAATCTTTCTGGTGCCTCTTCTATAAACCGTTCAATATAATAAAGCATGAAGATGCCACAGTCATACTCATTATTCTGCATGAACCTAACAGTTTTTGAAAACATATTATATTGATTTCTGAGAAAACTCAAGTAGGACAGTGTTACTTTGCAGTTTGCACATTGTTAAACTGTATGTACCTCGACGCTTTCCTTGTGTATATTACTTTTAAGATCCTTCCATGTTGTCCCTAAAATTGATGATAGTTGGCGCCATTCTTTTTCAAGGTATCTGCAGCATGTTGTTGGCATTGTCAGTGTTGCACAGAGGGTAGTCACTTGCACCAAAACTCAGCAGCAGGCAAGTCTGCCACATTCTAGAAGTTCTTGTCTTTTTAATAGCAAAAATGAAAATAGCTAGACAACTATAGCTGAAGTAGTGAAGTCGTTACTTGCCTCTCAACTGTGTTCAAGATCTTAGTACTGGGATGCATCGCTAGGGAGTCCAGATGAAGTATGATTGGTCCTGAAATACTCTCTTTTGCAGGAATGCAAATGATTACCAAGCTCCAGTGCGCCCTGGTTTACAAATGTAAAGAGACATTTTTTTTCATAAATATACTATACACAAAGGTACAGCGTGAAAGACATGATTGTAGGTTTCAAAAGCATTCAGCATGTGCTAAAGGGCAACAGTTCAGGCGATAGCAAAGGTTTAACAACAGTACAGATATAAGCACAATATTAGGAATCTCAGGAGCCACGTTCAAGATCTAAGATAATTCAAAGGGGGTCCAGATGAACCATGAAACTTGCTAACAAGCTGATAATGTCTTAAACATATAAAAGTGTGGCTTTGAGAACAAATTATATTGCATGGATCTGAATAATAGTATTTCGGCTTCATATTGTAAATGTCTTATTCAGTATCGACTTACGTCCCATGGATCGGCAAGATGATGTATGCTTTATTTAATATATTGACACCTTTCCACCATCTTCTCAACTTTGAGAACTCATCCTGGAACAAAATCCAACAAAAACATAATTTTGCCATCAAAGATATCATGTTAAGATAATAAAAATGAACAAACAAGTAGAACAAAAGATAATGTCAACACATGAACACAAGAGAAATGAGAAAAAAAAAACAGGAGAGAATACTTTAATTCAATTTGAATTTGAAAAAGAAGAGGATCAAATTTTGTGAAGGAAGGCAAGGGTAAGGCTTGCCACTTTGAAATGTAGTTGAATAAAACTCAAATGTGCGTCCAACCCTTGAGCATTGTAGGTCATAAGGGGTCAAGAAAAAAATGGTAATTCCTCACTCAAGAAGAAAATAATTGGTTAGTTGTAATTCCTCCCTCAAGAAGGCGGGCCTGGAGCACTGGTACAATCTCTACTTGTGCCTTGGACATCCTGGGTTGAAACCAGACTCCTTTTGCACAAAAAGAAAGGGTAAGGCTCTCTAGAAATTCCCTTCCCCATACCCCATCTTGTATGGGAGCTTTCAGGACTGGGTATGCCATTTTTTAATGGAAAAAGTCCAAATTACTCCCCTCAAGTTTGGCATATGTCTAGATTACCCCCTAAACTTACATTTGGTTCAATTTACTCCCTCTAACTATTTCAGTTGGTCTAGTTTACCCCTTAACATGATTTGTTATTTTTGTTTTTCCACGTATTAGTTGAGTCTTAATATCAACTTTTGTGATATGATAGAGAACATCATAAGTTATGTTAGAAAAAATATATCTTAACTTTTTGCCACTATTTTGATAGCTTAGGAAATTTAATAATAAATTAACACTAGAGATACAATATCGTATAAAACATAATGATGAAAAATTCATAGTGCATTTTTCTAACATAAAATACAATGTCCTCTATCACCTCACAAAATTTGAAACTAAAATATAATTTGTACATAGAGAAACAAAAAAGAAAAATCTCTTTAAGGTGTTAGTTGGACCAACTTAAATAGTTGGAGGGAGTAAACTGAACCAAATGTTAGTTTGGGGGGTTATTTGGACATAGGCCAAACTTGGAGGGAGTAATATGGACTTTTTCCTTTTTTAATTGTCATTCCACCCAAGAAAAGAAGGACCTATCTCATAGCAACTGGCAAGGAAGAACAAAAACTGTCTATTGGCATGGCCTTTATCCTATCTCCTTCCAAGAATAGTGGTGTGCTCCGGCACAATCAACGGATGAACCCCCAACCCCGGCTGAAAGGTTTTAACTTGCTGGCCATTTTGGTTGTCCAGCTTCTTTCAAAACACCACAAGTGTGTGTTCAGGAGTCAACTGAGTACAACTGAGTACCTCAGCTGAGGTCAAGGGTGAAAGCTAGAGAAAAAATAGAGGGTGCAGACTGCCAATGAGTGCATGAGTTAATTGGGGGTGCAATTGTGCAAATAAGGTGAAAATTCTATAGCAATAACTAATTTCTTGTTTATAGGCCTGGGTATGGACACACCCAAATCGGCCTATATGGATGCTGGCTGTGGTCCATGGGATCCTTGAAGGTTCACTCTCAGCAGGAGCTTCGGTTTGAACTCCATGATGCCACAAATCTGTTGATTGGGTGGCTTTCTCTCAAACATGTTACATGTCACATATGCATGTTTAACAGTTTGAGTTTGTGCGCGCTTCAGTTTTCCTTCTTTGCATTAGTACTGTACTAGTGTGTGTTTGGATCCATACTTAGCTGCTAATAATTAACTCCTTTGGATCCAAACGGGTCCAGCTAATATTCTATCTATTTGTTAGATGAATACCCAACAAACAACTATCTCAGTAGTTGAGCCAAACCAGCTAATAGTTAGCTACTAATATTAGCTAGCTAAATATTACTCCATTCCAAATTATAAGACATTTTGGCTTTTCTAGATGCATTGCTTTTACTATATATCTAGACAGTGTATATCTAATTGCATAGCAAAATCTTCTCAGGCCTGCACCTATCCCACCAACGCACTTCAGCACCCTCATCGCGCTCTGTTGTTGGCAACTCTGGAAGCGAAGGAATGGAGTCATTTTCAGATCGGAGAGGGCAACAATAAGGCAGACATTCATGGCATGTGCATCTGATGCAAGTCTATGGTGGCAGCGTCTGCCCGTCAAAGACAGTGCTGTTGCAGATATATGGATTGGTGTTTTCACAGCGTCTATGTAATACCTTTCCAAATGATAAGATAGCAAAGCTGTATTTTCCAATCTCTGTAACTATCTGCTGCCCAAGGGCAGCATATGAGCAATAACCCCCACCCCCCCGTGACCTTCAAAAAAAAATCAATGTATGTAGAAAACCTAAAACTTATAATTTGGAATGGAGAGAGTAGTAGCTAATGGATCCAAACAAGGCCTTAATAGGGGGACTGACATCTCTCCTGCCGGTTTGAGGAAAAAATGAACAAAAACTTCTATTTATTACAAGGCACTCATGTATTATGCACCAAGAAGAAGAGTATATTATCCCAATTTTGAACAAAGGCATAGTGCAAAGCCATTTAGTAAGAGAAGTATGACTTCATGGCACAAAAGATTTTACCGGACAATGCAATGCTTCTTCAAGCTTTCCATAAAAATACGTGTTAAATATGTAGAATTTGTCTCTGAAATCTTCAGTACACAATCTGTTCCTTTTGATGTACCTGCAGAGCAACATCAAGGAAAGAATACAGAGTATCTTTTAATACCTCCCTGGAAATAGCATAGCTCGGGGTTCACATAATACTTTACAAATTCTTCAGCTAAATAGCCCACAGTAAATAGTTTGATGGCATTCAAGACTTTACAATTTACAATGTGAGTGGCAGTAGAAGAGCAAACATTAACACCTAAATATTCCCATACCGAACCTTTCACTGGTTGCTTCTATTTGTTTGAAAAATAAAGTGATGCACTGGAGCAGTTTAAGTAAAAAAATCATAATACAAAGTCACGACTTACTGGATGTAGAAGTTTATCACCGGTGATGACAAATATACTCCCGGATCAAGACATTTAATATCAGATCTGGTGAGCTCCACAGATTCTCTATTATCTCTGTTCATAATAAAGTCAAAAGAAGGTAGAATGAACACCGTCCATGAATTCATGATCTTCAGAAGAAAAAAAAATGCACAATATACACCTCGATGGGTAGTAGTAGATCTTCGGTTCATTCCTGAAAAAACAATTGGTTCAGTTGAAACACAAACCAAAAGCTCAGCTAACAGTTTACATGATGAATACAACACCAGAGAGAAGCTTACCGTCTGTCAGACATCTCACAGTTTACTTCTTCCTCAGGTTTCATATCTTCATCATCCAATAGAACCACATCTTGAACCTTATAGACAAATCAGGTTAATAAATGTGTAAGGTCAAAATTACATGTAAAAGTGGTGCCATGATCAAACTACTATGAGAGAGTATGGCATAGTGCCCGATAAACGGCCTGTCGCTTGCCGATGCCACATATGACAGCCAAACTTATTATGAAGAAATAATACCATGGCAAAATTAGCAGTGTCTATTAAAGAAGGTAATAACTACCTGAACTTTCTGAAAACAAGATTTAGTGCGAAAACACAAAGCTTTGTGAACTCATGTTAACAAAGAGAGTTTATTTCTCTCAACCTTGCCCAGCCTTGCTAGTGAGCAATCGTTAATGCAATGAACCCATCAATAATCCGAAGAAATGTCCTTGATAGTAAACACCCACACTCACTATGTTCTCTACAGTTCTTGTGACCACTGAAGTCAAACATGATATGCTCCTTACGCATTGCATGCAGTAGGATTACATTGAAATGCAACATAATATAGTTTGAACATTTAGCAGCTAATCCGAAATGAGGATCGTGTAATTTTAACATCCAAGCAACAGGAAAGTATGGATGATTAGTTATGGAATAGGAAACTAAAGGAGAATTCGCAGAGTACTCAGTATCAGCATACCAACCTTTCGAGAATAAACGGAAGATGAATTCTGAAGCTGTTCCTTCCTCCTGCATAGAAGAATTGAAAATGAGCTGCTGATTCGTACTTCTAGATGGATCAAAGTAATATTAAGCTATATATATACAATAATGGTACATCATAGATGCCAATGTATATGACCATATGTGTGTGATATGTAAATGCTTTGTGCAACATAAGCAAGGCAGAGAATATCTTTAATAATCTACAAATTTCCATAAATCGTCACATTTTCATTAACAAAATAACAAATATTGGATGGCTGTACAAAATGGAAAGATAAAATTACTAGTTAGAAACGTGACATAAATAGCTTGTCTGTAAACACAAGGAAAATGGAAGCCTACCTCTTAGAGAATCTTCTGTGGAGGGAGCTCTCAACCTTCTGACATTTTTCATGATCAGATACCTCTGGATCAATGGCATGAGTCCTCTTTGCAGATAAAGATGTGGAACTTGGTTGGCTCGAGTACATCTTGTCCACCGATATAGGATTCCTTTTCCCCGCACGCCCTTGGCTTTTGAGTGTATTCAAAGGTAACTGCATCCACAATTCCCTCATAATAGTTTCCAACAGAGAGATGCCTACAGATCAACGAGACATAAAAAAAGGGAGAATGAAAAAAATGTGCCGTACCTTGCCATATTTATTTTTCTGAATAGGAGGCAACCTCGAACAGAATCTGTTGCCCTCACGTACCGACTGCTCATCTTCCTGACCTACAAACAAATGACACATAACAAATCCAAGACAGTTTGTATCAGTGAACAGCTGTAACAGATTCAACGGACACTTTATTCGGTTGATTGATATTCCACACGGATAGCATGCATTTCCCGTGATAAATCCACTAACCCATGACATGTGCCTAAAGTCTCGCAATACACCTTTTGCGGCTGGCAGATGTGCACGGTTAGAAATGATAACGACAGCAAGAGTGGAAATCTTACTGAAATCAAACACAGCCTTAGAAGCGGTATGAGCATCCTGTCCCCGACCATCAGCAGCCTGCAAACCAAGCCAGGAATGGTACTCGGAATCACAACCAAGCGAGCAATGGTACTCGGAATCGCTGATGCAATGTAGTAGCTCAGAAAGGGGGACAAAGACCTAAGCGCACACCACACCTGAGGAACAGTATGCGAAACTACCGCGAGGTTCGACTTCAACCATCCGTAATCAAACACCCCCAGTTCGACACAACCACAGGAGAGCGGGCGTAGGCGCGTACCTTGGCGGCCGCGCGGGTCACTGGTCGGCGGCGCGCACCGTCACCCCCGTACGCGGCGGTGCGGCGCTCGGCCACGCACCAGTCGACATCGTCGCGCAGCGTCCCGAACTTCCTCCGATGGTGGCTGTCTGGGGACCCCCGCCGCCGCTCGTCGCCCGATAACGCCTTGGCGACGCCCAACGCCCGCGCCCGCGTCGCCGCCGCCTTCGCCGCGGAGGCGCGCGGCGCCGACGAGGGGGAGGCGAAGCAGACGTCGACCTCGCGGTCGCGGGACGGTGAGCTGACAAACACGTCCTTCCAATCGATCTCGATCCGCCCCATCGCCGCCGCCGCCGATCGGGGGGAGGAACTGAGGAAGAAGTGGAGGTTGCCGCTTAATTGCTCGGCGAAATCATCATTCGTTCATCAGCTTACGCCGGAAGGAAGACGGGTTTACGGCGTGGGAGGGGACGGGTCCTGTATAGTAGTGGGCCTGATGGGCTAGCGTCATTCATCAGATACTTGTTAGTTGGGCCCAGGTCAGCTAAGTATGTATGGGCTGTAGGTTGTATAGTGATGGGCTGATCTGGGCTTGGCCAGGCGTGTGAATGAAATGGTGGACCAGACCCCTATGCCTTAGTTTTGGTTTAATTTGAACTCAAATTACAAACATTCATTCATGCAAACAATTTGGGCATGCTGTGATGAAGTCTTAAAGAGCAGTAATGGAGGATTAAAATATATAAAATCGAAGTATGACCAGTTGGCAACATGTCCCACAAGCAAAAAAAAAAAAAACTGTGCATATTCTCTCTTTTTTTTGAAACTGCATATTCTCTATTTGTAAAAAATATATAACAGTGCTGTATGTGACTTCACCTCCATCGAAGAGGATTCAGATCAACTCACTGGTTCATTGTGTTTTCTGGATGCGTAGATTTTAGGGCTATACTAGCACCCGGACGCTCAGACAGCGTGCCTCGTGCAATCGAATTTATTCTCGCCCCACACGTACACCCCGCCGTCGCAGTCGCTTCGCACGCGTCGAGACGACTCGCCTCGTCTCGCGCAGCACGCCCTGTCTGCCTGGATTCGAGGCTACTCGTCCCTGCCCATACACGCACCCGCCTGTCGCGCCTGGACCATCGCCGGCCCCTAATGCTCCTCATTTGCCGAACACCGGCACGCTGCTCGCCCCGTTCACTAGCCTCTAGCTCGCTGCGACCCATTCCTCGACGCTCGTGTCGTGCCACCGTCTCTCTCCCGCACCCCTTGACTCTCCAAACAACATCAAACATGTGCAACATGAAACACTTGAATGCAACATCCGTATGAAAAAACGGATGAAGCATTTAGAACATACACTTGCAACATATATGTGAAAATATATACAACACCAGATAAAAACACTTACAACTTGCGAACATGAAAACATGTAGTGCAACGTAAGACTGAAACGGTTGAAACATTTGAAAGGTATTTTGTTGCAACATACATGTGAAATATGTGCAACATCCAGATCGGAGCGCTTGCAACATACGTCTGGAACAAATAAAATATTTTGAACAACACCTCTAAAACACTTGCAACATGCCTCTGAAACACTTACAATATGTGCAACATTTCTGATCTACTTTTGCAACATCCATACGAAACAATTGCAACATACCTCTGAAACGTCTGAAACACTTGAAACATCACTTGCAGCATGCGCTTCCATCGCAACATCTCCTTGTTGAGGTCGTGCTTTATGGCGGCCACGGCGTCGACAGCAGCCACGACCTTTTAGTGGGGAACGACAGCGGCGGCGGCACCTTGGCAGCACCCCGGCGTGCAGCAACGGGGGCGCGCGGCACGCAGCGAGCTAGAGCGGGGGCGCAGCGCGCGGTGAAGTGGAGCGCGACGGGGGATGGAGCACGGCGCGGCGTGGGATGAGAGCGCGAGCTGGATTGGGGAGCCGCGTGGTATGGAGTGCACTTAGATGCATAGTAAGAATAATGTATACATAAAAGTTAATATTCTATCACTTGAAACGGATGGAGTACAATTTTTAACATTTGGTAAACTAAACTCGTAGTTTAAAACAAATTCAACTCAAGAGCTAGTTCTAATGCATCACGGACACGGAACACACTCACACACACCGCTGAGAGGCAGAGCGCGCGGCGGGGTAAGGGAGTGGACCCTACTGGCCTCACGCTCGGTTTTCGGGGTTAGGCGGTTGACGTGGGCCACGCTTCCTGCGCTTTTAGCGCAAAACTAAAAGCGGGTGCCGGGGTTAGGATAGGAGTGGGTGGGGTGGGGCCGTGGGGGGAGGGGGCTGCGTGCGTTTTGGTTCCTGTTGCGTGATGAGACTCCACATGGGATGGACATGCACTTGCGGTTGTGGACTTCGCAATAGCATGGCAGCTCAGAGTTTACTCAAGGATGACGCGTGGGCTATATACGGGTGTTTTCCTATAAACACATGTTTGTTTTAGTAAAAAACCACATAAATTTTTTACATAAAAAAACACACGACAAGCGCACGCGGCAACGCAGCACCAGCAGTGCGCTTTCTGCGCCTCGACTGCCTCCTTTGCGCATAGAGAATCGCGCCCGGCTAGAGCCCCACGACGCGACGACCCATGACGAACGGACAGACAATAGAACCAACCGTTCTGTGGTTTGTCCTTCCATAGAAAAAAAATTGTTTTCTGTGATATGTGATCTGTGGATCTATGATCTTGTGATTGTCTGAAGGTAAAGAAGGATGGAGGCTGTTGGATCTTAATCTTATGATGTAAAAAGAATCATGTGTTAAAATTACATAAAACATATGGTTGTGCAGTAGAGAAACTCTTTCCTTTTCGTGGTGTCTCTACCGCTTTCATTGGTCTTTATTATCAATCGCGTGATAGGTCGCTATGGACACAATAGTATTGGAGACTCCAAGTTAACTTTAGGTAATGTTTCACCGTAACGACACTCACTACTACAGAAATTAATCAGTAGGGCGGCTCAAAGCCTCTCAGTAGGCGGCCAAGCACCACCGCCCTTCCTGTGTGTTCCTACAGAGGGTGCCTCTGTAGGAGCGGTTTTCGACCGCCCGTAGAGTGACCTCTGTGAGGGCTACTGTGTTTTCACCGCCCTACAGTGATTTCTCAGAGGCGGGCTGTTGTTTTCACCGCCTCGCAGCGTTTCTCTCTCTCTAAGGGCGGCCGGTAATATCACCCGCCCAGTAGTGGACTTCAGTAAGGGCGGGTCAGATCACCACCATTACCCTGCTGTGTAGAGTTTGTAAGGGCGGTTCAATCAAGAACCGCCCCTACAAAGGGATTTTTCAAAAAAAAATAATTCAAATTTAAATCGACCATATATATATATATATATATATAATTCAAATTCAAATCGATCGCCACAAATATACATATATACATCCACAAACACAAGACCATTATTTAGAACATCATCTCAAGTCATAATTCACAAAAGTCTATCAAATAAAGTCGGGAAAACTTAATTTGCAATGCTTCATTCCTAACGGGATAAGGAGCAACAAATCGCACAATTTTATTATCTATACGTGAATCATAACTTCTAAAGATCTTATGCAAGTTGTTGCGAATTTGGTAGCCTCCGAGAGTTCCTTCCATATGCCAAAGGATGAGGTTCGGGAGGAAACATGTAAGTGTGCCTAAAAGCTGGTGTAAGAAAAGGAAAAAGCGAAGGAAATGTCACATACAATGAGAGAAATGTGAAAACAAGATCATGCATAAAGAATACAAAAAAGATATTGTGTTAAACCTTGAGTCTAGGGGTTGCACGGTAGATATTTTAAGAGGAATATCATCTAAGAGATGTAACTGCTAGAAATAGTATCAAAAGCTTCAAGCAAAGCCCCGTAAGACGAGACCGGATCTGCATAATTAGGAATAAGCTTAAAACCAAGGATATGTAAACCGTAAAGCAACACATAGAAAGATCTAAAACTTAACTTGGCCATCAACTAAGAGGCAAAAGTCCAAATGATCAACAACATGAATCAAATCATCCTTCCGCAAGTGACAAATGTTTCATAAGCACATAATCAAAGAATCCTTTTAATAATTGTGTGCTTCTCCCGAGATTGACATTCCCAAACTGCAGCTTAAGCAAGTAGGATCCATTAAGAATAAAATGCAACAACTATCCACACTTTTTAGATATAATGAAGTAAAATAAAATGCATCACATTACACATGCTTTCAAAGAATATTTCCATCCTTGAATCTTCTAAGCTCAGCTTTCTCTCCCCAAAATTTCCTAAATTTAATAGCCTTGTGATTTAATAATGCATATCGTAGTGTTAGATCGCAATAGTGGCGCTTCATTGTTCCGTAATCTAGAAAAGGAAAAATACCTCAACGCGGTTCTCGTGGTTTGGACCAATATCAACAAGGCAAAAACTTTTTTCCAATGAGCTAACCATCATACCAACGAGAAGCGGATTTGACTTTGCCAAATTCGAGAAACCCTACAAAATTGTGCTTGTCATCGGATCGAAATGCGGGAAGGTGATCAATAATACTAATGCTCACACTACATACTTCCACTATTTTCCATTCATAAGGTGTGCTTCTCCACAGGACTCGGATCATCTTTGTTCTATCTGTAAGTCCTCGTTAAAAGAAAGACTCGAACATCTTTCTCAAGAATTCTCCAAGACTCATCATCCACACAATAGCTTAATGTAGTAATCTTAGAGTTTCCTTTCAAGTTTATCCCGACGTAAAAAAAAATACAAGTGAAAACTTGATCACCGATGGAGAAGTCTTTAATCTGGGATGATACTAGAAGGCAAAATTGGCTCAATGACACTAGGAATATGTGCGATTGGAAATAATATGAAAAGAGGTCGACAAGTTGGGCCAGAGCCACATTAAGTAGGAGAGAAAAATTGGTGCATAACAAACAGATGCGTAATGTAACTAGATAGTCTCAAACCGAGGACGTCTTTGCTGCTCACTCAAATAACGGTTCCAAAGAGAAGTCCATAATACATGTACCAATGTGATGCATCATAATTCGGTTTCAGTGTACACCTCAAGCATGAGTCAAACTTAGCACCAAAGTCAACTTTGGTCATGAAAAGCTCTTCAAGTCCACCATCTCTCGCATTTATCAAGGCAACTAAGTGCAAAAGGCTCATCTTGAAGTGAACAAGGAAAGACAAAAGAGGCCACAAGAGTTGAACTCAAAGAAATTTGAAAGGTTGACTACGTATGTGGAGAGCATTACTCGAATCAAGAATAAAAAACATCAAACTAGATATCTACCAAAGATTGGCCGGATTATACCGCTAGGTTGTACATTTGAGTAGT